GTTATTATAAGTGCCTCCTCCTGCCTCCAGCCTCTTTCTGTACACAACACCAGCCCTTTGTGTCTAATTTAAAATTTATCAAGTATATATTATATACTTGCTGTTGTTGTTGTTATGTGCCGTTGAGTTGGCCCCGACTCATAGCGACCCCTCCTTGGGTTTCCGAGGCAGTATCACTACGGAAGTAGATTGCCCCATCTCCCTTCTGAGGAGTGGCTGGTGGGTTTGAACCGCCAGCCTTCTGGTTAGCAGTCAAGTGCCTTAGGCACTACGCTACCAGAGCTCCTATATTATATACTAGACATTGCATTTTGTGCTAGAGAAGATACAAAATGGAGATTCAAAGTTCCCACCCCCAGGAGCATATTGGACACTCGATTAATTTTCCCAAGCTGCTCCTTTGATAATTTTGCTTGTCTCAAAACCCTCCAGAGGAGTCTGTTTTGTCCCCTGCTGGGTTTCCAGCTCTTTAGATAAGTGTACGGCCCAGAGCAGGAACTTAATACCTATTTATTATGGCAGGTATCTAGGGGGCCTTGGCTTGGTATTCAGTCTGGCCTCCACCATCTGACCTCTCTGGGCTGTGTAATAGAGAAAAGAACTTAGATTTGAAGGTCAGGAAGACCTGGGCTAACATTTCAAGGACTACACTTTCTAGCATTGTGAACACAGAAAGTTGTGTAACTGTCCTGAGCTTCATTTGCTTTAGTCTACAATGGGATACTAGTAACTTCTTTGCAGTGTGGTTATAAGGGTTAAAGGAGATGATTGTATGTAAATCACATGGTACAATACTTGGTGGCACATAGTAACACCAGTAGGGCTCGGTCCTATGGCAGTGTATATCTACTTTGAATACACAATATTTGTTTCTCTCTCACACACAGAGAAATGACATGAAATACTGTATGTTAAGTGCCAAGAAAGATTCCCAACGCGTAATGGACTGTTACTATTACTTCACTTGACCTGTATTTGTCTTCTGAAAGCATTTTTCTTCATAAGGAGTGGCCTCTTAACCATAGGCTTAACAAATACAGTATGGATCTCCCTTCTCATCCTTCCCTTCTTCCATCTTAGATTTTCTCAGAAAACAAACTTCAGTGAAGAAGAGTGAACTAGGAAAACGAACAGAACTTGCTTATAATATTGAAGGAAATGCATGTAACTGATTTTAAATGAGGTGATTAAAATATAGACTGTTCTTAAATGAAATAAAATACCATTTTGCTACATTGTGTTTTGCTTATTTAAGATAACAATCATGACAAAGCTCTACCATTGCCATAGAGCAATGATTCTGTTCTGAAAGTCTGTTCCCCAGACCGGCAGCATCAGTGTCACCTGGAAACTTTCTAGAAATGTAGACTCTTAGGCTTACCCCCAGACCCACTGAATCAGAAACTCTGGCTTTGTTGTAGCAGGAGCTTAGTGAATATTTGATAACTTGGAGCAGCAGGCCATTGGGTAAGGCCATTGATGCTGATGGACCCGGTCTTGGTGCACATCTCTCATATCTATACATAGAGTAGTTACGGGAAACACCTCCACTTGTCTCACGGATTGTGTATGGGACCAACTGGTGACTGGCTGCACTTCTAGTTATCATGGCTGAGCAGCTGGTAGCACCAGTATAGTTCACACAAGAGTCTTGGGCAAGAAGATTTACTGGGCCTTCCACTGGCAGTTTCTTAACTTCTTAACCCAAACTCATCAGAAATTCCATTCTAGGGCTCCCTCACTTAGAAGCATAGGAACTAAACAGAGTGTAATCAAAGGAATGTATCCAGGATGGGGAGAGAGGGAAGGAGAGAGGAAGGGAGGAGGAGAGAGAGGGAGAAAAAGAGGAAGAGGGAGGAAGGAAGGGAGGAAGGGGGAATTTGAGATTAATTTTTTCCCTTTCATTGTTCTAGCTTTGTGTTTTTCTCTTACATTTACAAGGGAACTCTCTATTTCTTTACTCTTACTTTCTGTCAAGAGATACTAAGCTATTTATTTTCTCCACATTTGAGAAACGTCAGCTTCCAGGGGGCAATCCCTATCTTTGAGTCACTTTTACCTGAATACTGTATGTGGGATGGGGCTGGCATTCAAGGCTTCCCATATCCTGGACCCAACAAAACTTTCCATTGCTGGGGGGTGGGGGGTGGGGAGAGAGGGAGAGAGAGAGGAGAAAAGAGAGAGAGAGAGGAGAGAGAGAGAGAGGGAGAACAAATCAAGGGCAAATGAAAGAACCAGGAGTAAGAAATCTCACATATATACACAAAGAATTGAAGGTGGCGGAATGACTGGATTTATCTCTGGGACTCCATGGGTAGAACTAGAAAGCAAATTAACTAAATGGCAAACTCTCTGACTTATTCATTAACATATCAACATTGTCCAGTTCTGGCATCTGCCTAGCACAAAGCAGGTGCTTGATAACTATTAGTTGAATGAATGAATGAACAAATGAAGGCAATAGGCAGAAGTCCAGGGAGGTAGGTTTTGGATCTGCATTAAGAACTTTCTAACACTCCTCTATCGTAAGCTCCTTAGGCAAAGACTATCTGCCACTTTTCTCTGGATGCCAGTGTCTTGCACAAGGCCAGGGGAACTGTAAGCCATGGAGGCCTTGTTGGCCAGTGATGGAGTGGCCCATCCTGGAAGCTAGTGGACTGGAAAACTATGTGGAGGAAGGTTGATGAAAGGGACTTAATACCAAAGAGTCCTAGATTAGAGGGCTCTGAGTCCCTTTCAGCTTGGCAATTACATATTTCAGGACCAACTAAAATATGCACTGCTACCTCAAGAGTCCTGCTTCATCCATCTATCTTAGGAATGGGGTCAAAGTCATGTCTTCGTTAGCATAGACTTGAAGCTGGCTAGCTGCCCATTTGTAGGGTTTATTGAACAACTGGCCATTGGCTTATTTGCTTTAGGAATAGAGGAGTCTATGAAGCTTCCAGATGCTCTGAGTATGTCTGAAGATTAAGGAAATTCAAATTTGTTCTAGAGTCTCCCAAGTAATGGACAATTAATGGAGGTACATTTCAAAGAAACACAAGAACATTTCAAAAGAAGAGGATCAAAGTTCTTGAGTGCATATCTACTGTAAACAAGGTGAGGAGGGACTCAGTCTGGTGAGAGGGTCAGTGTCTAACCAGGGAAGATGCCTGGAAAGGAGGAGGAGGCTCCTGAGAACAGACACTGTAAAATATTAATCACTGCTCTCTTTAATTAGCCCATAGACTCTACACAAACACAATTTAATTTCTTGGGAATCACAAATTACCAAGTTTCATTCATTAGTCCCCTTCTCCCCTCCAGAACTGCTTCTTTGTTTCATATTTGCACAGGGATACTCTTAATTGCCAACATTTATTTGATGTGCTGTGCTTTCATTTTAATTCAGTTCAAAATACTTTTTAAAATTCTCATTTGATTTCTTCTTTGGCCCATTGGTTATTTAAAACTGCATTAGTTTCCAAACACCAAAATCAATTTGGAATTCAGTTTTTTCTTTTCATTGTTCTAGCTTTGTGTTTCTCTCTTACATTTACAACGGAAACCTCTATTTCTTTACTCTTACTTTCTGTCAAGAGGAACTAGGCTGTTTATTTTCTCCACATTTGAGGAACATCAGCTTCCAGGGGAAGATCCTTATCTTTGAGTCATTTTTACCTGAAGACTGGATGTGGGATGGGGCTGGCATTCAAGGCTTCCCACATCCTGGACCCAACACAACTTTCCATTGCTGGTTTTGATGTCTTCATTATAAGTGCCAAGAAAATCAGACTATTTGCCATTTCTCAAACATGTCTGCTTCTTTCATTTTGTTTGTTTTGTCTCAGTGAGAGATACTCCCTTCCTCAATTCCCCATGGAAATCATCTTTCAAAACACATTTTAAATAGCCATTTAAAGTCTTTTTCTGGTCTCAAAGTGCCCTCTTCTACCTTGAAACCTTCACAAGACTTTTTTATACCCCCTCTTATGGCCTTTGAAAATGAAAGAAGCAGACATGTTTGGGAGCTCTGGTAGCATAGTAGCTAAGACACTTGCCTGCTAACCAGACGGCTGGTGGTTCAAACCCACCAGCCACTCCTCGGAAGGAAGGTTGGGCAATCCTACTTCCGTAGTGATACTGCCTCGGAAACCCAAGGAGGGGTCGCTATGAGTCGGGTTTGTCTCGACGGCGCATAACAACAACAACAACAATTTATGACCTTTAAGGGGCTCTGCTGGCTAAAGTGCCTAAGGCATTTGACTGCTAACAAGAAGGTTGGCAGTTCAAACCCACCAGCCACTCTGTGGAAGAAAGACTGGGCAATCTACTTCTATGAAGATTTACTGCCTCAGAAACCCAAAGGGGCTCTCTATGAGTTGGAATTAACTCGATGGCAGTGAGTTTGGTTTTGGTTTTCTTATGGTCTTTATAATATCAAGGTCATTTATTTCTTATCCCTCTTATTAAAATATAGCCAACTCCCTGTGCCCCCAGCAGGTCTAGCTCACTGGGCATACCAGAAATATCTATTGAAACAAACTGAATTATGGACTTTCTCTTTCTTCATTGTGCCTGATTGACTAATATGTTAGACTTTGCAAAGATCAGAGCATTCAGGGGTAGGAAAAGACAGAAGTGAAACTTTGAAGAAACTTTAGGGATCTCTGGTTCTTGATTATTTCATACACATAAGCTGACAGACAGGAAAGAGTTTACAACTGCATAATGTGGGTAGTTTGAAGAAGACACTGTTTTCCAGGATTCTACAGTGATGGGAAACATCTTGTGCAGGTTAAAGCCTCTTTCATGAGGTAATTAACTCTTTATGGGAGACAAAATCACTGACTAATAGAGTGATTGTATAACAATCAACATAAATATTAATGAGAAAAATGCCAGTTTTCTTGCACCAACACCCACTACAGGCCTATATAAGGTCTGGTGAAGAAGGAAGAGTTCAGCCTCAAGTAAGTCCAATCTCGGGCAAAACAGTGGTCCAGACCTCCAACGCTATGACTTCTAACTACTGCAACTCCCGCCTCAGTGGGAAGGTTTCAGAGGCCAAGGCTGTCTCCCCATGCCTCTCAGCCACCCTGGCTCATACCAACCGAGCCCGTGTGGGGGCAACCCCTCTGGGCCAACCCAGTCTCTGTCTGCCCCCCAGCTGCCATGCCGCTTGCCCCTTGCCAGGGACCCGCCACATTCCAGGCAACATTGGAAGCTGTGAGCCCTATGGCAAAGGTGCCCTGAATGGCCATGAGAAGGAAACCATGCAGTTCCTGAATGACCGTCTGGCCAACTACCTGCAGAAGGTGCGGCACCTGGAGCAGGAGAATGCGGAACTGGAGACCAAGATCCGAGAATTTAGCAAATGCCAGGAGACCTACGTGTGTCCAAATTACCAGTCCTACTTCCAGACCATTGAGGAGCTCCAGCAGAAGGTGAGGTTAATGATGCTCTAGATCAGTGGCCAAAAACTATGGCCCATGTGCCAAATCTAGTCTGCTACCTGATTTTGTAAAGTTTTAATGGCACACACACAACCACATTCATTCATTTACGTATTGTCTATGTTGGCTTTTGGGTTACAAAGGTAGAGTTGAGTAGTTGTGACAGAGGCTATCTGGCCTGTAGAGCCTAAAATATTTGCTATCTGGCCCATTACAGAAACAGTGTCCTGACTTTTATGGTAGATGGTCAGCTCCTGGACCAGTAGAGTCACAGCTGAACTGTCTTTTTAATTGTAAAAGCGAATCTGTTGAGTGAAGGGGAATGAGAATATGTAAAGGATGAGCTATTGAACGTGACTCTCCAGCATTCTGAGTTTATGCTTAGTGTCAATACTTGTAATTCCGAAATTGTATGCTACTTATGAAAACAGAGCTAGTTCCATAGAAACACTCAAACTTCTTGTACAGGAAATGGGGCGAGAGGAGTCCTGGCTGTGTGTATTTTCTAATATCCTAATGTGCTGGAGTATATATTCATTCAGTAGCATTGGACTCTGTGCACACCTGCTGGCCCCTCTGATTATTAATTCAATGCTTCTTAAGAGCCTACTTCTTAGTTGGAGACAGAAAGAGAAAGAATATCAAAATAGCTGCCATAGAAAAAACTGGCTATAGCTTCAGAGAAGACCCTTGGGGAAGGTGACCAATCAGAATAAGGAATGTCTTATTAAGAATGGATCCTATGTTGTCTAAAGCTTCATAGACAATCCATTGCTCTGTGGGCTAGATTCCAGATCTTGTTTATATCAGGCTAATCATCACATTAGGAGTTCTGGTAGCATAGTGCCTAAGGCACTTGACTGCTAACCAGAAGGCCGGCGGTTCAAACCCACCAGTCACTCCTCGGAAGGAAGATGGGGCAATCTACTTCCGTAGTGATACTGCCTCGGAGACCCAAGGAGGGGTCGCTATGAGTCAGGTCTGACTCGACGGCACATAACAACAACAACAACAACAAATCATCACATTTGGCAAAATAAAATCAAGTCTTTGTTATAAATTTAGTTCATTAGGACTTTTCAGTAGAATCTATGCCCTTCATCACATAGCCTCTTGCACATCCCCTCTCCTGCATCTTGAAAGTACCTCTTACATCTCTAGGAATTTATGTTGCCCAAGGGGATGTTGTTATTTGAGCTCTAGCCAATGGCGCTTCCTCTGACTTGAGGCTAGAGGTGGCCCTGGGAACAGTGAATCACTGAGCTGACTTTCTTTTCCCAGATCCTGTGCATCAAATCTGAGAACAACAGGCTGGTCGTGCAAATAGACAATGCCAAGCTGGCTGCAGATGACTTCAGGACCAAGTGAGCTGGGGTGTAACAGGGAGGAAGATGATCTAAACTCCAACTTTGGTTTCTTCTTTCCTGCAATGTAGTTGACATCAGAGATGCAATTGACATGACACCCAACAGTTATGATAGGAGAAAGTGCATTAAGCCCAAGATCTTAAAAAAAACAACTCTTCTCAATTTGTTTAGCTTTTATAGTTTACAACATGCTTTAGAACACATCATCTCATTGATTCCATTCTAAGAACAATCTTGTGAGGTGGGTAGGTAGGCAATAATGACGTCCCCATTTTGCAGGTGAGAACACTGACTGAGGTTCAGAGCACTTCAGTGACTTGTCAGATGCCACATGGTTGAGTGGTAGAACTGGGACTTGGCCCAGGTTTCCTACCTTAAGTTCATGTCCTCCTAAATCCTACTGTCTCAATATGGATATGTTTCTGCACTGCAGTTCTACTAACTTCAAACCGAAAAACCAAACCCACTGCCATTGAGTCAATTCAGACTCATAGTAAACTACTCCATAGGATTTCCAAGGCCGTAATTCCTGACAGAAACCATGCTCCACAGCCTACAATAGGGGCATGTGAAGGCCAAAAGAGTTTATACCATTTGGGAAGGGTATGACCTGGGAACAGGAAGGAGTGTTATGTTGTTCTATCTTTCTTCAGGACATGTGGAAGTCTCACTCTTCTATAGCTAAAGAAAGCCATTTCTTTCCTTGAACTCTGGGACTTTGGCTTCTAATCTAAGAGAGACTCAGGGTTCATCTCAGCAAAGGGGATAGAAGAAGTAGGTCTTCAGTGATCACACAGTATTGCATTTGTCTAGTTACTCTGCTGCATCCCCGTTGGTCCATCAGCCCAAGAGGGCAGGCACTGGCTGGCATGTCCATCACGGTCTCCTCAGCACCAGCTGCTCTGCCTGGTTCATCTTAGGGGCTTAGTATTGGGTGAGTGGGGAGAATCCTGTTGCTTTCTGATCACACAACACAGGAAAAGCCAACTCAAAATTAGTCTGTGAAAGGGCAAGCCAGTGGAATCATTGCTGTAAGTTGTGTACTGATGCCCCTGCCTGCTCTCTTATCCTGTCATGGAACCCTGTGCTCTGCCCTGCTGAAGGTATGGGACGGAGCAGTCACTTCGCCAACTGGTGGAAGCTGACATCTGTGGCCTGCGCAGGGCCCTGGACGACCTCACCCTTGCCAAGTGTGACCTGGAGGCCCAGCTGGAGTCCCTGAAGGAAGAGCTCCTCTGCCTCAAGACCAACCATGAGCAGGTGTGTGGGGCTTTGTGATACTTGCTGAGACTTTCTGGGGTGAAGAAAGGCAGCTTCCTCCTGCATGGGATTGAAGCTCTGTGGGCCCTGTCTCGTGGTGAAGCCTCACAAGCCTTTAAGATATGTTCTGGCTTTCAGTGAGGGGGTTGTTCTTCATCCATAGCATCTGGTAGCTGCTGGGCTGGTGCAGTGCCTCATCCTCAGAAGGGAAGAGGGAAGTCATTGGGGGATGGATAGGGAGAGGAAGACAAAGTTTTGGGTGGAGGGTAGTGGGGGTCCCATAAATGGGACATCCTCCTCCTATGCCCACAGGAAGTCTACACTCTGAGGTGTCAGCTGGGCGACAAGCTCCGGATCGAGCTGGACACTGAGCCCACCACAGACCTGAACAGGGTGCTGGGGGAGATGCGGTGCCAGTACGAGGCCATGGTGGAGACCAACCGCCAGGATGTGGAGCAGTGGTTCCAAGCTCAGGTGAGGATGGTACTGCAGAGCAGGAAGGGGTTGGTTTCTGTTCTGGGTCAGTGAGTGACTAAGTCACTGTTGTTTGACCCCTGTGCTTTAGTCTGAAGGCATCAGCCTGCAGGCCATGTCCTGCTCCGAGGAGCTGCAGTGTTGCCAGTCAGAGATCCTAGAGCTGAGATGCACGGTGAATGCCCTGGAGGTGGAGCTCCAAGCTCAGCACAACCTGGTGGGTTTCCCTTATGTCTCTGTGTGGAGGACTCAACTGGGCTCCCACTTCTTTCACTAGCAGTTCCCTGTGTTCAATACATGCCTCATTTAAATAGAGACCAAGGACACAGCTGAAATCTCATCTCTTTTAGAAGATGTAGATGTGGATCCTCATAGATATGGACATTGAGTGAGCTAGCCCAGAGGAGGGAGGGTCTGCAAATTTATTTTAAAGCTTTGTGATGACGAGCAGTATCACACTGTTAGTTCTTTAAGCTGAAGACTATTAAAGGAAGTGGACTGATCTTGGAGCCTGGCAGTATCTTGGGACATCATGGCCTTACTCACTGTAGGGATGGAGGCAAGGAATCATGATTTTCAACCACTTCCTTTCCTTTGCTATTATAGAAAGACTGCCTGCAGAACTCTTTGTGTGAATCCGAGGCCCGCTACAGCACTGAGCTGGCCCAGATGCAAAGCCTGATCAGCAATGTGGAGGAGCAACTGGCCGAGATCCGGGCTGACCTGGAGCGGCAGAACCAGGAGTACCAGGTGCTGCTGGATGTCAGGGCCCGGCTGGAGGGTGAGATCGCCACATACCGGAACCTTCTGGAGAGCGAGGACTGCAAGTATGTGCCCCATTTTCTGTGTCAAAGCTATGTGTAAAAGCAGAGTCCTCTTACTGGGAATAACAGGGCCCTAAGAGGAGCCCTGGAGGTCGGCTAGGGGTGGCATTGCACACAACATTGTTGGGGCTCTGCTTGCTGCCCAGTGGGCCTGGTGAGTTTACAGCTGCCTGCACATACAGTAGGATGTTGCAGCATCTTTTTGCCTTACAAAGTCTGTTTTGCTGACCACATTGTGCTCCCAGCTGCTAGCCACTCCCACAGGGGGCTAAAATACCGAGAGGTCAGCACATTCAGGTGTTGCTAAATTCTCTCTGGAAGAAGTATTACAGTAGCAAGAATTCTTCCTATTCATAAACAGGAAAATTCCTATTAAGAATGTTGCTTAAGGCATTTGTACCTGTTCTTTCATTTAAGCTCCTCAAAAGTCCTGTCCTGTGATAAAGTACACCCTTTAATAAATAAGGAACAAGATTAGGGGCTTTGTTTAAATTAACAGGGACAGCCAGCGACGTCTGGTCTGTTCTTGCCCCACCAGTCTTTTCACCTTCCTGTCTGCTGTGTTCCTCTCCAAGGTCTTGCACACAGGCAGTTTGAGTTCTGGTTCCAGCTCCGCTGTGGACTCAGGGAAAGTCACTCCCTGTATAGGCTTTGGCCAAATAACAGGGACCCTGAAGTCCTAAAATTCCCCTTTGCCTCTAAAATTTTGAAGTTTATATACTTTTGCCTTTTACCCACCTCACACCAATGGTTCAAACACCCTTTTTTTCTCTCTGCAGACTTCCATGCAACCCATGTGCGACTCCTGCCTCCAGCACTTCCTATCCAGCCCCGGCAGCCTGTACCCCCTGCTCTCCCTGCCTCTCTGGGCCTCCTCGGGCCTCTTGTGGGCCTTGCCCATCGACTCGATGCTGACATGCTGCTTACCCTGAGGTGCTGGCAAATGGGCAAAGTCGAAAGCATCTTTGGCTCTGTTCTCTGGGCTTGTTATCCAGGCTCCTATGGCCTGATTCACCACCAGCCAGGCAGAATGACTGAAGTGAGGTAGTGCCTCTTGGCTGATGGGCTTTCAAGTCCAGCAGCATAGTGCCTGCCCTGGGATTTGTGCTGCTTCTCAGGGTGTCCTGGGTCCTCTATTTGCTTTCTTCTGTTGCCTCGTAGTCTCTCTGAGATGTTCTTGATTTCTTTTCTTCTTTTGCTAATAAACTTAACTTCTGCAGCATAGAGAGCCCAGTGTGTGCCGGCCTGGTTTCTGTATTCCAGGCCAAGATCGTTTCCTTGAGCCAGCTCTTCTGTGGAAGCAGGGGTGGAAGTGTAGGACACTGAGGCTCACTCACCAGAGTGGTTATTTGAAAAAAAAAACAAAAACAAAAACCAAACTCATTGCCATCAAGTCGTTTCCAACTCTTAGAGACCCCTCCTTGGGTTTCTGAGGCAGTATCTCTACGGAAGTAGATTGCCCAGTCCTCTTCCTGAGGAGTGACTGGCAGGTTTGAATGGCCAGCCTTCTGATTAGCAGTCAAATGCCTGAGGGACTATGCCAGTGAGGATCAGGGTTGTAAACAGGATCAACACAGCGTAGATGACAGAAAGCCAGCTCTTGACCCAATCAGGCCTGCTTAAAGCCAGATTCACAGAGCATTTAAAATAGACCTTATATTAAAAAAATTAAAAAATTTTAAAAAATAAAAACATTTTATCTGGATAAAGTCATCTGGTACTTGTGTAAAGTCAGAGGTTCTGCCAGACCCTTCTAGAATACCCCAATTAAATTAAGCTTTCATGATCACATTCCCATTTTGAGCAAGGCACTGAGCTGGGGACTTTACAGACAATCTTATAAAGAGGTAATGGTTGTTATTATTTTCAGCTGGTGCTGAGTCAAGCCTTGAACTCCAGTCTCTTTGAATAAGATCCAAAGCCTATATGCTGGAAGCTTTGAAGGGAAAATAAACATGAAAAGGGTTAGGGCAGTGGTTCTAAAAGTGCAGTCCTGGAACCAGGAGCATCAGCATCACCTGGGAACTTGTAAACAATGCAAATTCTCACGCCCCACCCCAGACTTTCTGAAGCAGACACTCTGAGACGGGGGTCAGCAGCCTGTTTCAGCAAGCCTTCTAGGTGATCCTGATGCAAGCTTAAGTTTGAGAATACTGGACTAGGGGATTGACTTGGAGAGTGTGGCCCTGCCTGGCCAGATGCTCTGTAGGAGGAGCTAGCCTTGTTCTTCTATGTCCCTCAGGTAGGGAATCTGCGTACCATCAACAGTTCTCCTGCATATTGCAAAACTTTGAAAACACTGAATGACAATAACTGCCAAATCTGTCTTTGTCAGACTATCAAACTAGCTGAACCAGCCAAGCTCCCCCACAGGCTCCACTGTCCTCCGTCAGCTAACCACCTTGGAACTTGCAGGGCACAGACAACTGACAAATTGACAAAAAAACCAGACACTCCACATTTAGGCAGCTGGGGCTGAGAACCAGCCCCTTTCCATAGCTCAGTGTCACAGCTGGCCACACATGGACGACCACCAGAGACCATTTCAAGCAGGAGCTTTATAACCACCTGTGGGGATGTTGAGATGGACACTCATGCATGTGATGAGGCTGACTGAGATGGCCTGTGAGGGTCTTTAAGTCTCTATAGTCTATGACTTCTTGCTTTCTAGCGCCCCTCCTTGCCTTTTTTTTTTTTTGTCCATGAAGCTGTAAGTGTTAAAGTGGAATCAGCAAACCTACTCTAAGAGCTGATTCTTATCTTTCCTCCTTGCTCAGTGAACTCTCTAAATTAAAGTACCTTGCTGAAAAATTTAGAAGTACAACTGATGGTTGTTTAATCCAGCCATTCCTGACGCAGGGCTATGGCTGCAGGAGTGACCAGTCCTAAGCATCCAAGCCTTCAGAACCAGTTGCTTCTCTGCCTCCATCTCCTCTTGAGCCCAGAACCGTACCTGTTGGCCCATGTCCATGTAGACAGGACTGGTTTGCTTGGGCGGCACGAGGTCTTCCATTGTAGGGAGCTCTGGAGGGGTCAGGAGTTGTTATACACTCCCCTCCCTTGTGCCTTTTCTCTTTTTCCCAAGTGATAGAGATGTTTGGGCACAGGTGAAACATCCCTGAGGCATTTACCCAAGACTAGGTCCCAATAAGGAAGAGCAATCTTGATTATTCTTAATTTAGCACCTGGCCCAATCACCCTCACCTCCTCCTTTGTACTTAAATAGCTTCTTTCATCCAACAAGTTCAAAGCTGTCTAACAAAAATAAACCCGCTTATTCTTGTACCCTGACAGATTAGACAAGCATTGTTCTTCCCATTTAAGGGAGAGGAAGAGAAGGTGAGTCATTCCATGGTTAAAGGATCCTTCTGGTGACATGAAATGAGTCAGTGGGGCCCCAGAGTGATTGACTTGTGTTTCTTAAGTTGATATCCAATGTCTTGACTGAGTGTCATTTATAATTAAAATATAACTCTGATGAGACATTGTGTGTGTAAGTGGTTTGGGCTACTAGGAAGAAAGGATGGGCAGAGGGGATCATTGTGCTTGGGGAGGTGTGAAGAGCTTCCCTAGCAAACAAACAGCCCGTATACCGCCTTCACTATCACCACCATCATCATCATATATCTTCAGCACCATCATCATCAAAGGTTATATTCATTGGGCTCTTACTATGAGCCAGCCATTGATCTAAGTTATAATTTATATATGAGCTAATTTAACCCTTACAACAATCCTATGAAGTCAATAATATTGTATCTTCATTTTGCAGATGTGGAACCAAGGTTCAGAGAGGTTAAGTAATATGCCCAAGGTCACACAGCTACTAGGTGGAGAAACCAGGATTCAAATCCAGTCAGTCTGCCTCCAGCAACGTGCTTTTAACCACTATCCTTTACAGAGACCAAGTCTTGGATTTTTGTCAGCAGAAAAAGAGAGTCATAATTATTCCCATTGTTTTGATTCCTTTTTCTTGAAGGAAATGAAGAATGTTTATGCTAGAGCAGGATTCCTTAGGTGGTGTTTGGCTGCTAACTGAAAGACTGGAGGTTGGAATTCATTCAGACGTGCCTTGAAAGAAAGGCCTGGTGATCTATTTCCAAGAAATCAGCCATTGGAAACTATGGAGCACAGTTCCTCTCTGACACACATGGGCTCACCATGAGTCAGAATTGACTCAAGAGCATTTTTTAAAATTTATGCCACAGTGGGCAGTGCAAGGAATGAAAGGTCTACTGTATCTCAAAGAAGCTTGAAGCTTGAGGACCTGGGCAATTCTCATGCTGAAATTGCCAAAGAAGGTTAATCTACTCCCTGCCATTACTAAAGGAGTTCTGGTGGTTCAGTAGTTAAAGCATTTGACTACTAGTCAAAAGGTCGGTGGTTTGAACCCACCAGCTGAGCAGCCTGCTTCCGTAAAGATCTATAGCCTTGCAAACCCTATGGAGCAGTTCTGTTCTGTCCTACAGGCTTGCTATGAATCAGAATCAACTCAATGGTGGTGGATTTGGTTTGCTATTACTAACATTTTGTATATTGAAGAAGAAGAGAAGAGAAATAGTCAGAATTCCTTATGTAAGTTCATTGTTTTGTCATTTACAAAGCACTGTCACATATGTTATCAAATTTGAGCCCCAAACAACCATGAAAGATAGGCAGAGCAGGCACCATAAGCCCTATTTTGTAATGGGGGAAATTCACGCATAGGGAGCCTCACAGCTAGTAGGGGGCAGTGTCAAGCAGTGAAGCCCATATCTTCTCTTCCCTGGGCCATTACTCTTTACCACACCAAACAGCTAATGGCTTTGCTGAAGGTACATCTGGCTACGACTTCCCAATCAGACACGCTCTCAAGTGCTGGGGTGAGATGGCTAAGACGGATTTTATAGGGAAAAGGTGTTCCAAGGCCTGGAGATCTCGGAAGGATAATTTTTCAGGTGCTTTCTCCCATCCTCCAATATCCTCCCCACCCCAACCACAACATTTCAGGCCTTTGACCATTTCTCTCTTTATGCTGGTCATTGAACCTAAATCTCCCTGCTCCCTTCCCCCTTCTTCCTCCTTGGTTCTCAGACATCTCATACAAGATGTCTCAGTTATCCACACGGGCCTCCAGGCTGTCCACCCAAATGCCTCCATTTCTCAGTAGCTCTCTCTGATCTCAAGGATGGAAGACTTGTAACTGCTCCTCAGCAGGTCCATGTGCCATCTCCATTTCTCTCTGTTAATCTCACTCTCTTCTGTTTCTTCTTTCATTTGCCCTGGCCCCATACCACATTCTTGCAATGGCTTCCTAATGGCACCTGCCAAAAGCCTCTTTCACTTGATTTGAAAGTCCTCTCAGTGCTCAGGAATCCAGGAACACTGTAAGGCTGAGGTGATAGGCATTAACCACAGTCCCTCTTTAGTCTCCAAAGCAACATGAACCAAATATAAAAAATAACTAATTACCAGGTTTGGTTAAAGGAATAAGGATTCTAATGAGATCAGTTCTTTGAATCCTACCAAGAAGTCATCTAGAAAGTGGAGCAAAAACAAATCTGAGGAATACAAGTAAATAATCCTAATGGCCTCATCCCTTCTTCAAATGGTTGAGAATCATAACTTAGACTGAAATGACCTTGGGAAGTGGGGCAGGAGTAAGTGTGGGAGGAAAAGGGGCATAATGGAAGAAATTTTGGGGGGAGTGAGAAGGTCCAACTATATTACATTGTGTTAGAGTTAGGTGAGGACCTGTCTATTTGGCAGGACTGAGAGCTCTTGGAAGGCAGAGGCACATAATCTTCCCACTGTCCCCCCAACACCTGGGATTGTGCCAGGTACATAGTAGATGTTCAACAAATGACTTAAGCATGTCATGTCCTACTTGCAGTTTTCTAATTACATTAAATACAAACATAGATCCAATCATCCAACTCACATCTTATAAATACATCACTTCCTTACTATCTGGTTATTTCTCATATATTTTTGCTGGCGTGAATAGACAATTAATTCTCTTCTAGAACTAGATTCTTCTGTTTTAACTTAGCACAGTGACCAGCAAGAAATGTAAGTTGCTCAATAAATGCATTTTGAATTAAATCAAATTAAAGAAAGAAAGCAGATTTGATAGTCCATTGCTTCATTTCTCTCTGAACAAATAAAATTTGCAACTCCCAATTAGGAAATAGAGAACAGGAAGTTCACTCCTAACCTGTGTGAGGTCACGGATTACAACCCTGGGGTCCCATTTTCCCCACCAATTCAAGAAGTAACTTCACTCAAACATATCGATATTTTGGAAACACTGCAAAGAAAGAAGCTTCTTTTACAAGCACACATCGACTCACCTGTCAGTCTGCCATATCCACCTGGAATTCTTTTGCCATTTCACCTCCAGTAGGGTAGCCTGCAGGGAAAGGAATCATCAGGAATGACTAGCAGTTAACAGGGTTAACCTGTTCTCTCCTGCATCCCACTTCTGTGTGGCTGCTGATTGGCTATGACCTAAAGCCAGTGCAGGTCTGACTATCCCTGCTCTGTTTTTTTCTCCTGCTCTCCACTCTTCTAATTCATTCAGAAACAGGCAGTATTGCTCCTTTTTGTCTTTTCTTTGCCTATGTGTAGACAACAGTGCATTTCTCAGCCACCAAACAAATCTCAGACTGAATCATGGAGATGAAGTTCTGGTCTGAACACCTTGAAACAATGTCACTTCTTTCAGAGGCCCCCGGGGTGTATTCTCTGTGTTTGTAAATCTTTTATGACTCATTCCCCTTTACCTCTTGAAGGATACTCAACAGGTGGGCCACTCTTCTGTCACTTTACGTTGTCTTGGCCATGTCTCAAGCTTTGCATTGTCTAGGTTCATTCATTTGAAGATGGGTAAACTTTGTCCGATTAGCGTGGTTCTGAAGTTTCCTTCCAGGTTTTCTACCTGTCTCTCCGTGTTCTTATCTCTGTCTCTTTCCATTTCTATTTTTTTGATCTTTCAGCACTGTGTGCAAATCCTATCTTTACATTTTATCAACCCAATCTTTAAATCTCCTCGTACTTAGAACATAAGCATTCTCCACAAGGCTGCAGTGGCCAATCAGTAGATAAGACCAAAGAACTTGGAGAACGCTGCTGACATTCAGTCCATGCTCAAGGTAAAACCTCCCAGGATGATGAGGAAGAAAGGGTTGAGAAACCAATTCCTTGCTTCAAAGCCAGTGCTTCAGTGCAGGCTGACAAAAACTGGGGAGCAAGAGACCTATGCCATCCTCCACAAATGAGCTCTCATCAGTCTAAAGCACAGGCCTTTCCTTTGTCCCAGGTGGCATGAGATGGAAACTTCCTCCTGATTGCTGCTCCTTGCCTTGCATTTCTCCTCTGGAAGGTCTCAGGGATGCCTGCCTCAAGACCCACCTATTTCTCTCCTTTAATTGTCTTGGAGGAAAACAAAGAAATTTTGATTTTATTATAAGTCTAGGGCTTCTTTGTAGTGCTGTGGGACCTCTCATCTGAATGGCATTATAACAAGTGGAGATAATGACCTTGGAGAGTGTAGGTGAAGGACCTTTTATCTGAGCCTCAAGCAGAGCTCCACATCAATATTATCATGCAAGCTTGATGAGGAGAAGGACTCCAATAAGTTGTCAATAAAACTGCAACCCTGGCTGGCAGCCCAAGCTACAGAGGAGGTTGGGTTGCTGCCACCCAAATGCAGGTGGTGCCTGGTGGTGGCTATAATTATGTAACTTTTATATATTCAAAACTTTGGCTACCCCTTCCTCCCTAATCAACCCCAAATGACTGCAGCTCGCTTTGCAAAATCTTGACAAGCGGTATTATCTTTCCTAGTATCCAGATCCTTGGATTTAATTAAGTGGACCACAAAGCCTCTTTGGTACCTTTATGCCTTTTGTTCTAAAACCAGGTTGCATATAACCCAGTTGGGCTAGGGGGTATGAAGGCCAGGACAGGAACTGGGGAAAACAGAACGTTTAGCAGCATTTTTTTAAAATGTTAAATCCAACATGGTTATATTATGGAATATGAGGTAAATTCACATGAAGTTTTAAAGTCAACTTCAAGGGATTGCAAGCTTATGGAGGCCCCTTTGGGCTATATTTCCTGACTTTCCCAGTGTACCCACTCACCCTGTTCTGATGCCAGGGACACATCAGTGGAAAAATTCAACAAGTATTTCCTTATCTCATATTTGCATCCAGATCATTTTCCTAGATAGTTTAAATGGATTTATGTATACCTCTCAGCTTGCATTTTTCAGCCTCCTTTCAAAACTACCCCTTCCTCCAGAACCTTCTCTGTTCTCAAACTAATTATCAAGTTTTAAAGTTCTCCCTTCCACAAATCTTTTAGATGGGATTACACAGGCCCTTAAAACGCGACTGGCTCTCCAAACTTCTCAGTCATGGCCCAAATCAATCCTTAACATCCATTTCAAGGCTTCTAAGATTTGGGATGCTACTTCATTTAGGGATTTTTCTCTTAAAGCAGATGGAGAGAGCCCACTGTTGCTACTTGATGCAACTTCTTCCTTGAAACAATTCCAGGTTCATCTTGGAAACTCCAAGTAGACCAGAGATGATTCTGACTATGGGCCTGTAGGATCATGTGACACAAAAGAATGTCACTGGATGGAGCAACACCCAATTAACGAGGGCAGATACTTTGGGCTGGACTGTGTGGCCTCTTTGAAGGTCTACCACAAAACTCTGATTTCATGGGTGTACTGCCTGAAGAGGAGTCCTGAGTTAGCAAGAAGCCCAAGTAAAGAATTTTATGGGACATGGGACTCTTCTGAGGAAGGCAAATAACAGACTGAAGGCAAAGGCATTTGAAAACTAGTGAAGTAGTAAAAAGGAAACAGATATTACATACTGTGTCCACACCCTCTGTGGAGGGGGTATAAAAACTCTTTAGAGGAAGGAGAACCACACACTCAGTGGCTTGGAGAACCTGGATTCTACTCTCAGCTGAGCACCTTGCTCCTTCCCAGCACCATGCCATACACCTGCTGCCTGCCCAACATGAGCTGCCGCACCAGCTGCTCCTCTCGGCCCTGTGTGCCCCCCAGCTGCCATGGCTGCACCCTGCCTGGGGCTTGCAACATCCCTGCCAATGTGGGCAACTGCAACTGGTTCTGTGAGGGCTCCTTCAATGGCAATGAGAAGGAGACCATGCAGTTCCTGAATGACCGCCTGGCCAGCTACCTGGAGAAGGTGCGCCAGCTGGAGCGGGAGAACGCAGAGCTGGAGGGCCGCATCCATGAGTGGAACCAACAGCAGGAGCCCTACGTGGGCCCAAACTACCAGTCCTACTTCAGCACCCTTGAGGAGCTCCAGCAGAAGGTGAGGAGGCTTGCTGTCATCTCTAATCAGTGGGAGTTTGCCATGCTTCTCAATCTTTGTTTCTTGCTTGTATGCATTGTGATTCTTGTTTCCCTTTTCTACTTTCAAAATGATCTTTTATGGCATTTTAAAGAAGTTGGTATTTTCAATTCTCAATAAGCAACCTTTCATTCCCAGATCTTGTGCACCAAGGCTGAGAATGCCCGGCTTGTGGTGCAGATTGACAATGCCAAGTTGGCTGCGGATGACTTTAGAACCAAGTGAGTTGCTCAGAATTAGCACTGTTGGCCACTCTTTTGTGTTCAATCTCTAGTTGAAGAAAAGGGATTTCCATAGTGTTGCTGAACCACAGACAATTGATCAGTTGTAAAGGATTCTGCAGAAATTAGGGGCATCAAGCAAAAGAGTCCCCCAAATAGTTGAAGATTAAAGTCAACCTTCTTGTTTTGGGATCAATATTGGGTCTTCTTGACTGAACCTCTAGAACACAATCTCCTGGGTCTACATATGGGAGAAAGTGAGAAGACAGGTGAATAGGGTTATCAAAGATCCTTCCTGTGGGCCTTGAAGGTCTGCTAGTTACTACTCTGTTCCTGTAATTGCGTAGGTATGAGACTGAGCTGTCCTTGCGGCAGTTGGTGGAGGCCGACATCAATAGCTTGCGCAGGATCCTGGATGAACTGACCCTGTGCAAGTCTGACCTAGAGGCCCAGGTGGAGTCCCTGAAGGAGGAGCTGCTGTGCCTCAAGAGGAACCATGAGGAGGTGAGCTCTGAAATGAGAAATGAATAAACCTGATACTGTCTCAGACTAAGGGTGACTTTAGCGTTTTGGAGTGGCAGAGCCAGGAGTAGCAGGCTAAGGATAGCTTTATCAATTTCTTTCAAAAATACCCAAACATTATGATTTTTAAAAAATTGAGAGGTGAAAGCTATCCATGATCCCAAACAGAATGTATATTTCACTTAAAACTGGTGCACTATTAGGGTTTCTCCATCTGCTTCTAGTTGGTCCCCTAGTTGTAAGATGAATCCCACTGCTGCTGTATCAGTGCTGTGCAAAGTCATTACTCTTTTCCAAGGCCATAACACCAAGTATGATGACTCTGAGTCTCTACCCTTTCAAGACCTTGGTGAAAAGTTACCTGGGGGTCCTATTTCTCCTGCCTCCCAAGAGGGGCCACTGCAAGATCTTACTTCTTACTTTATGGCAAGAATTGGTTGACATACAATCTGAAATTGTACAGCCAATTCTTTGCATTCTGAGATCATGCACAGCCAATCTGAAAACTGGGAGAGTTGGGCATGAGTTCATCCTTCAGTGGCATTTGAGTAAGTGCTTGGGAATTCTTTTTGACCCCAAGTCCAATGGCATGGCAATGGTGAGAAGGGAGCTGTGTTGCATGGAATGCAGACCACTTAGCCTCAAGTTGTCACAGATTGCTCCACGAAAAGTTTTTTTTCCAAGGAAATAGACTGGTAGGGCTTTGACAGGTAATGCAATTTCTTCATTGAATATTTTCTGCATCCACAGGAAGTCAACACTCTGCGTTGCCAGCTTGGAGACCGCCTCAATGTGGAGGTGGACGCTGCTCCCACTGTGGACCTGAACCGTGTGTTGAATGAGACCAGGTGTCAGTATGAGGCCCTGGTAGAGAGCAATCGCAGGGACGTGGAGGAATGGTTCACCACACAGGTGGGCATCTAAGCACCTGGCCACTCAGGGCACAAGGTTCCCAGGGCCCTTAGACAGGGTCTGACCTCTGTCTTCTCCTCTCTGGATATTTCAGACTGAGGAACTGAACAAGCAGGTGGTGTCCAGCTCAGAGCAGCTGCAGTCCTACCAGGCAGAGATCATCGAGCTGAGACGCACAGTCAATGCCCTGGAGATCGAGCTGCAGGCCCAGCACAACCTGGTAGGTTTCTCTTGAGGTCCTGACAGAGTTCAGGGTCTTGGAGTAATTGTAAGGATTGAAAATTGTGAGGAGGAGGAAGGGAAAAGATGAGTTTTGGGAGATGTTTGCAAGAGTTGAGTTAATACCTTGGAAGAAGAGATCCTTATTTGATGATCTGTTATCTTTCTCCACCCAGAGAGACTCTCTGGAAAACACACTATCTGAGACCGAGGCCCGCTATAGTGCCCAGCTGTCCCAGGTGCAGTACATGATCACCAATGTTGAAGAACAGTTGGCTGAGATCCGGGCTGACCTGGAGCGGCAGAACCAGGAGTACCAGGTGCTGCTGGACGTCCGGGCCCGGTTGGAGTGTGAGATCAACACGTATCGGGGCCTGCTGGAAAGCGAGGACTGCAAGTGAGTGAGCTGAAGGTTTGATGGAGCCACACACACATGGCTCAGTTGGGCTCCATGTAAAAATTGCATACTTTGGGATGGAAATCATGCTCAAACAGAACTCAGAAAACACAATAAGGCTATCTCTAAACATAAAATTATTTGATGGCAAGAATTGTTTGATGTACAGACTGCAATTGTACACTCAATTCTTTGCATTCTAATACAACAATACTGATATGTAATCAGTGTTATTGCTTACATTTACAATATTGTGTTGTATTTCCTCATATTGCCTTATTTGGTCTTATGATAACCACCAGGCAGGCTGGATCAGTATTCTTTACATTCTACAGGTGAAGGAAGTGGGGCTTGGAGAAGTTAAGTGACCTGCCCAAAATCATCAGCTAGGAATGGACAGAATTGGGACTAGAAGTGAGATTTTCAGAGCTTCTATCTAATGCTTTGGGGGCTGTGTGATAGGGAGGCTGTTAGCAGTTTGATAGGAAGCTTTGCAGCAGGTAAGCCTGTGGCTTCCTCTGTTACAGAGCAGGCCAAGTCCTGATGGGGATTCCATTCTTGAGGTCTCTCTGGTACATGGTGATGAGCCTTCCTCAACTCATCTTCCCATACCTTTGTCTGTAGGCTGCCCTGCAACCCTTGTGCCACAACCAATGCCTGCAGTAAGCCTGTTGGGGCCTGTGTCTCCAATACCTGCGCTCCCTGCACTCCCTGTGCCCCACGCCCCCGCTGTGGGCCCTGCAACTCCTTCGTGCGGTAGAGTTCAAGAACTGCCAGAGGAACAAGGATGCAGAGTCAAGGGTACCAGATTGCTGACCTGATCCTGGCTCATTCACCAAAAAGCGCCCCCAAACACAATTTGCATGGCTGGAGCTGCCCCAGAAAGGCACCCAAGAAAGAAACTCACCTGAAGGCTCCACCTCCTCCAGATCTTTTCCTTCCTTTAGGTCTGTTCCCTCCTCTGAGGTGCCCACAGCCCTCCCTTGTAACCTCCTAATAAACTTGATTTCCATGGCAAAGCAGATGCCTTTCTCATTGGTATTCATTTGTTTCAATGTGCTCATCACTTGAGTACTCTATAAAAAGCCACTTGACTAATGGCCTGACTCTCAGTGCAAGAGCTGTTCCATGCCTGGAGGGCAGATGGTTGGCCTAGTGCCCTGTACAGTGGGTGAGGCAACCCAGCCCCTGACAACTTCTGTCAGGGACCTAAGCCTCCTAGCTGAGAGCCGTAGCAGGCAGACCAGCAGGAGAGAGGGCAGGGAGCTATGGTGCCATGGCCCCAACCTCCTTTGGATCACATCTGGGTTTTTCTCACTGTCCCCTCTTGACCTACACATGTCCCAGAACTGCTTGTATCTAAATGTGAACTGAGGAAGCATAAGCTGGGGGTAGGAAAGAGGCTCCAGAAGACTCCTGCCTTTTCGGTAGGAAGTTTTGGGTCCAGCACTGTATTATTCTGGTTAATTGGGGGTTCAGGCAGCCTTAGGGACATCCAGCCAAGGGACGATTTGGCTTGCCTTGCTGGGCCCAGGATGCCCTCCTTTTTCCCTGTGTGGAAGGGATCATGGTCAATCTGGGCCTCCAGCTACCTTCTTTCCTTCCTTGATAAGACCACACTAACTCTTCAGTAGATTCTTTGGCCTTTCTCAATTCAGTTCAATCAATATCTGTTGAATACCTACTAGGCAATGGATAATGGGGCAAGGAGAGACACATAAAGAAAGACACAGTTCCAGGCTGCTGTTCATTCATGACATGTTATAGAGGATAAAAGGAGCTCTGGTAGCATAGTGCTAAGGCACTTGACTGCTAACCAGAAGGCTGGTGGTTCAAACCTACCAGCCACTCCTCGGAAGGAAGGTTGGGCAATCTACTTCCGTAGTGATAC